AACAATCTAATCACAATTTAAACAATGTTCATTTAAAAAAAGTTCTTGAATATTACTTGCTTACTTTTTGCCAGACTTTGAATTATGGCACTTTGTGTCCTCCATATATTTTAACTAACCTTTCAACCACCTGATGAACATTTATGAATGTTTGTAAATTTAAAAGCCCTGATAAACCAATGACATCCTTGCTTTTGTATATAAACACATGCAACAAAATAAATCATTCATTGCCTTGATAAAGTCCTACAGAGGATGAAACATCTCAGCTAAAAATAGTTTTTCCTCTCATCTCTTTTTATTCATTTTGTTCCTTTACAGATCTGAAAATAATTTACATATTTAAACTTTTGAAATTTACAAATTCATTTCTTAATATTTTAACCTTTTAATTTGATTTTTTTAAAATAATGTAGTGAACGAGATAATCAAGTACCCCGGAAAAAAGTTTGTGTTTTGTGTGCGATCTGCGGGGGGATTGCCAAAAAGTAGTCAGCAAAACTCTTATAGCGACTTACCTCGTCAACCCAAGCGAAAAAGAAACAAGTTAAATGCAGGGAGTCGCTATAAGAGTGTATTAATATGCAAATTACGGAGCATCCTATCCCGGCTGTCGACGAATGGAAAAAATAGGTTCTGCCGATAAAAGCAGTTGGTGTTGTCGACTCGGGAGGAAAATTCGGGCAGTTTTGGCTATGGCGTTCGTGAGTTATTTTCCTGACGTGTTACAAGTGATTTTCTTTCTTTGTGTGGTGAAAGCCACAAATTTGCTTTGAGAACGCTTACTCTTCAAATAAGACCTTTTTTCCTTATTTTAATTTATTCTATAAGAATTAGAAAAACACTGAAGACATCAAGACTATATTTTTTTTTAAATAGGGTGTTTGAAAACCCCACCATACTAATGAAGGGTTAACTGAAACTAATTGTTACTACTTTATATGATGTATACTCAGGACATAGGCAAACATGGCTCTCCACAATTTTCTGTCCTTTGTAGCTCTTAACAAATTTTGTCTTTTTATTATTTCTCTTAAACTCTGTTTTACCATCCATTTACTCAAGCATACTAAATATGTTATGCGTTGTTTGCCTCTGTCCCTTTGGTTTTCAATCTATCTTATTTCCAAGCCCCTTTTCCTCATTTTATGCCCTAGAAATTTCAATTGTCTCTTTCTGATGTAAAACATGTTTACATTTTCTCTAAAACTTTATTGTTGCTCACATATTCAGTCCATAGTATCCTCAGCATTCTTCTGTAGAACCACATTTCTGTTGCTTAAAGTCTCTTCTTCATCTGTGAGGAGATTTTCCAGCATTCACAGCCATATAGGAGGACTGATATCATGTAACAGTTCAGTACTCATTTTTTTGTTTCTAAGAGTTTTTTTTTGTTTCTTAATACTCTGCTAGGCTTTTAAAATGCATCATTGGCTATCACAACAAACCTTCATATTTCGATGTTGCACTTTCCATCCTCTGTTAAAACACTTCCCAGATATTTAAATTTTTGTACTTGTTTGATTTTCACATCTCCAATTTGTAATTTGCATCTTGGGCTGTCCCTTTTGCTAGCAACTATGCATTCTGTCTTTGTTGCTACAAGTATTGAATTAAGCACTTCCTAAAATGTGATAACACATTAATGCTCATCATAGAATCTAGTATTAATTGCATTAAGGGTTTCTAAAAAAATTTTTTCCCCAAGAAAATAATTAGATGGTAATTAGAGAATATTATTCCTCATCTGCATATAAGTTAAAAAAATTCTGGGTGCTAAAAATAGCTACCCTTTTGTACATAATACACATAAGGCAGGATAATCTGCAATGAAATTAATTTAATGATAATCCTTTACAATCTTAATTTTTTCCTAGGAGTCACAAGGTGGTTTCATAAAAATTCAGTAATTTACTAATTTATCAAGGTGAAATTGTGCGTAAAACTAACATTTTTTTTTTTTTTCAAAATCTTTTATTTCATATCATAGATTAAGCACTGAAGATCATGGATGAAAAATATTTCTTAAATTTTTTAAAATTTAATAAGGTAGTGGGGTTTTTTTTTAAATCAATTCACCCCAAACAAGGCAATAATGCCACTACGACACAAGGGTCTACTGGGAGTGAAAAAGAATGAAAAAATTTTAGAAGGAAACAGCAACAGAAAACAAGGTATAAACCTCCACTCCTGTTCAAAAGAAGGAGGAGTGTGAACAGGGTAATATGTGAACCTATCTACTCCTATATTTTTTCCTTTTCATTTTTGGAATTTTTAATATGGAGCCCTTTTTTTTTTTCATATATTTCTATTGATTAATTATGAATTTCAAAATTTTTAATTTTATGAAATTACGTCCTACAAACATATTTGTTTTGGCTTCTGCAAGATCAATTTACAAATGAATTTACATAGCAAAACTGGACTGCCCCCATTAGATTTTATAAAACATTTTATTTATCTAAATTTTTTTTTTTATAGATCTGGAGTTCTTAATCTATAGTAATCTATATAATACTAAAACTCTATTCTTGTCTGTATGTATGTGTTCCGAGATGCAACTTAAATGATACATAATACCCCAACCAATTGAGAAGCGCATTATACCTTGGACCCATGCCAAGTTCAGTGTCAAATTTCATTAAAATTAGACAAGGGGTTCTTGAGCTAAAGCCATTTCTCTATTTTTACGGCATTTTTAATAGCAAATTGACTATTTGGGCCTGCTATTACAGTGTAACCCGGATATAAGAGAGTTGTCGGGACCGGAGAAGAAGTCTCTTATATCAGGGTTTCTCTTATATCCGGGTTTGGTCTATTTTGTTTAGGTAAGTATAGGAACAATTTGGGACCAGAGAAAATTTCTCTTATATCCGGGTTACACTGTACTTGAATGGAAAGGCCCTTTGTATCATGAACTGCTTTTAAAAGGAACCCAACAAATTTATGGGCAGTCTAGTATAAAAATTTTAAAAGAAAAAAAAAAGAAAAAGATTCTTTTTGGTCAGTGTCTATTGTACAATTCCAACTTCATCCAGTGTTGCTCAACAATATCAACCTGCATTTGTAAATATGCAGTCATTAGAAACAATTCTTATAAGCCTACTTTGTGAACAGACAAAATTTGGTTCTTCTGGACTCATTTTTTTTTTCTATTTTGATGCCTGCATTTGAATTCAGTAAAGTTGTCCTATTTTTCTCAAGTATTGAATATCGTTATGTGCCCTTTGCTATAAGTGTTGAGTATTATTTTTGTATAAATGAACAATTTGTTTGTTTTTTTTTGGTTTTTTTTATGCAAATAGATAAACATTAACTGCTTGAAAAATGTTAATTGCATGCTAAAAATGCCAAATTCAGTGTTCGTTTTGTCATGTAAACCAGAAGTGTGGATCAATATGTCTGTAGACAAAAAAATTAGTAACTGAATTTTGATAAAAAAATGTCACTGTATAATGTCAAATCTTTGTGATTATTCACAATAGAATTAAATATATTGATAAAGGAGATTATGTTGAAAAATATTTGCCATGTAAAATTTTATTTTCCATTCAATGTATTTAGGCCTTTTTTCACTGTCTTTTTTAAAGTTACAACAGCATTAAAAAAAATAAAACATTCTTAAAATAACTACTGAAAATATTTTATCACTTTTGAGTTAGTGTAACAGTTTTTCAAATTTATAAAAAAGTTTTCTTTCAAGAAAAATAAATATCCAATGAAGCAAGTCAGATGGTTAAGTTACATTTTCTCAATAAAATATTTAGTGGACAAAATTTTTCAGTTAACACCATTTTTACAATGTTATAATGACAAGGCTGCCTAACAAATTTTAGCTTAAATGTGGATTAACACAGGCAGTAAGTAAAAATAACTTATTAGGCTTGCTAATTTAAAATTAAAAAAACATTTTAGATTTATTTTTTTATAATTTCCTGAACTTTAAAAAAAGTTGATCTTGCTGGATAAATGAAAGACTATTTCAAAGATTATGCTCACCTACTCTAGCAAAAAAAAAAAAAATTATTTTGGAAAATTTTCATAAGATAATCAAAAATGTAAAAAGAAAATAATTTTGGTTAAAAATGTCAAGCAGCTGATAAAACTGCATTATTTATTCTTGCAGACTTAATCCTTACTAAATTGGCTGCAGCATTTTAGAGCTTTTATGAATTAATAATCTTTAGGGGTATTTTGGCTAGCAATCAATTTATCTTGCAATATGCAAATTTAAAATAAGTTTTTTAAACTATAGCAAAAGTGAAAGCAGCTTAGTAATGAGAAAATAGAAGGAAAAGACATTGAGGAAAATAAAATTAAATGGGACATAAATTTTTTAAAATAAAGTTTGTATTTTATTTTTCAATTCCTTGTCTTATGTGACATGGTATGACTTTCCAATTTTCATTTCTAATATTATAAAGAGGTGTCATAACTTTTATTGGGAAAGATAGTGGAGAGCCTTCCTGTTACCTTCAGTACTATCTTTCTCCTAGATTGGTTGGTTTGATCGGTCATACAAAGCCCGGTCAAAAAATTTGGGATTAATAAAAATATTAATAATTTTAGGAGTGTATATTTTTAAAAGTGGTTAAAAGAATTTTTTTACACATATTTCTAATTCAAAAATATTTTTAGAATTTAATTTTCAAATTTTATTATCTTCCACAAACTTCAATTTAAAATAAAAATTAACGCGTAAGGCGTTGAAATTTTTTACTTTTAAACTTTTTTTTACAAAAAAAAAAAAAAAAATCCGGCAGCAAACGAGACAATACACGTTAAAGCACATTTTTAGTTCTTTTTTTTTTTTTACCCTTCAAAGATGAGATTAAATTGCAAACAAAACACCAGCCAACTCACCTGTTTATATTCTTCAATAGAATTTAATCTTCTTTGAAGATTAAGACATTTTCCTCTTTCTTCAAACGCAATTGCAGGGCTTAATTGTTGTGTTTGGTAGTTTCCCATATTATATCAGGTTACTTAATTAAGGTCACCATGTAGTCGACCAGAATGTGATAACTTAAAAAATAAAAACAAAAACATAGGCAACAGATTTTTAAACAAAAAGGCTAGTGACTTTTATAATCGATAAATAAAGCTACTAAAAGGCATGATGACAATGACGTCACGCCCACGACAAACAAAATTAATAAGTCATTTACGCGATATCATCGAAAAATGATAGAAAGGAAAGTTTATACTTAAAAAGAGAATTATATCCAAAATTTGAACTAGTTTAGTGTAAGAGATTTTTTGGTTTAACTTTTTTAAGAAACAGGAAATACAAGTGAAAAAAGGGTAATCATAAAACAGGTTCAACTGCTTTTATTTTCACCCATCTGTGACATTTTACTAGTCTACAGTCTTCTCTTGAAAACACAAAAAGAGAGTTGTCCCCAATCCATTAGATAAAAAAAGAGAATGAATTGAATATTAACGGCTCAAAAGAAGAAGACTATGTAATTTTTCTTCCTTTTTTTGTTTTTTAAACTTTAAAATACAATTACGACTAGTTGCATAGCAGCAAGATCTGAAATAGATTTTTATTTTTTTTTACGTTACCTCCAGGTTCTTCAAACTTGTTGCTTCGTACCTAAACACTCGTAAAAGCGACATTGTTTTCCAAACATTTATCAATAGATCATAAGGCATCTGGTTTCGTCCCGAAATAGATATGTATATTTTTTTTTAAGTAACAAATAAATGTACGGGAACTTTACGGCTCAATCCACGTGTACATTAAAGCGATAAATGATGACGTCATCAATTTGTGTGTACACAACCACTGCTCCATTAGAAATGGCTGGGAACGAAACGGATTCAAAAGGTGAGCTTAACATGATATTTGTGTTTTGTCCCCAAATGTTACCTTCTCACTTTCTTTACAGTTATACTATAATTATCTCAATACGTTGTTATTCCACAAAAAACATCTTCCAATTGTTATTAACCTAGATATTCACATTTTTTTAACAGAATTGTATTTTTTTAACTGTATAATAATCGATTCTGCTTTATTGAGTGAGAGGATGGATATAAAATGCTGTATCTTTTTTACATGATCAACCAGCTGTCTTGTTTCTTTTTACTTTTATCTTTCCTTGATAAACCTGCAATTTTAATTGTAATATATATATATATCTTTCTGCGCCTATATAACTCAAAATAATTATACTCGCAAAAACCCCTATCTCTGATCTCAAAAAAGCTACACATGGCTGCCGGCTTTTGGGATCCGACCCTTATCTTTCTTTCGCGGTTTATAACTTCAATTATTTCATAAATTTCATAAAAGATTATTCATGTCTTTTTTATTTTTTATCAATAAAAAAAATTACATAGTGTATCTTTTTTGGTTAAAGTAAAAACTATGTATTATTATTACATTTCGTTTCAAAATGACTCCTTACCTTCACCCCCCCAGTTATCATATGTTGCAAAGTGTAACGGAGTAACTAGAACGAATAATTAAGATCTTGAATTTAATACCTTATTTATTTAAAAAAATTATTACATATATTTTTTTTTAAATTAGAAAAAGGATAGAATCAATTTTGTAGTGATCCAAACATCTTTTTAAATGTAGTATGATTCCTCAAGCAAGGGAGATCGTTTGTTTTTTTTTGTTTAGCTTTTTTTAGTTTTACTTTTTTTCATGTGTTTATATTTCAAAGATTATGTAATAATTACTGTCTTTGTGCTCTTTTTTCTTTTTATTTTAAAAGAAAAAAAATATAGTTTGATTTTATTTGTAAAATCTAATAATCTACACAGACACTGCAACAAGATGATTGTCTTTTTAATACAGAAAAAAATACTCTATTGATCAATGCAATCAAATTGATTTTATGCTGTTAGTATTTTTAATGAATGTTTCTTTCCCAACGTCTTTTGCATAAGAAATTGACTAAGAAAACCTCTTTCTTATTTTTGTTTAATAATTAAAATACAAAGGAAATGTTTTTTCCCCGATTTAAAAAAAAAAAAAAAAAAAGTCCTCTCTAGTATTGACTTATGATGGCATTCATTCATAATCTAATTTTTCTAAGATTTTTTCTTTAAGTTTCAAAAAACTCGTTTTTTAATTTGAATTGATTTCAAATCGAACGTACACAGCTGTTTGTGTATGGGTGAGTTTTTTTTTGTTTTTTTTTTTATTAAAATTAAAAAGAAAAAAATTCTCAATTTCCTCAGTATCCCATTATGGAAAACACATACATAAAAACATTTTCTGATTTTAAAATTCATAGTGAGCTTGCCATTAAAATCAATTTTGTTAATTGATATTTTTCTTCTAAGTACTATAAATGCTACGGTTTTATGAAAGATATTAAAATTGAATGTAATGATTTCTATGTTTGTTTAGTACAAATCAAGTACTGTGGTCCGTGCAGAAATGTGTGTGACGTCACTGAAACATGTGAAGAATTCACAGCAGTGGCCGCTCACACAGTAATGAAAAATACCCGAGCAAGCCCATAGCTTTGGACCGCTCGTAATTATTATCACCTTGAGATAACCAAATACTTATTTAAACAAATATGAAAAGTTAAATGCGGAGCACTTAAAGAAAGAGTTAAAAGAAGACCCAAATTTGCCTGATGCGAAGCTGTAAATTCTTCGCACGTTTTCGTGACGTTTTACACCTCTTATTACTGACCACATTACTTGACTTTTACTGTGTTTTAGACAATGAAGGCTTTTTAAAACCTTCAATTTTAGATTATGAATTTTAAATTATTTGAACATATTTTTCCTTTTATGTATGGTTTGCTAGTTCTCTCTGAATTTCTGGGATGAAAAATTATTTATATTCGACCAAATGTCTTCATCTTTTTTTCTTTTTTTTTTGTTATCATGAGGCATCAGCTGTTGTGGCTGTTGATCCAGGTAACTATCAGCGAATTTCAAATTAATCCCTTTATTTAATCTACAGGTGTAAATTGTTCTCAATCCATGTCTCAAAATAACTTCTTTTTTTTTTTTCTTTTTTTTCTTTTTTTATTTATAGTACTGCATACTTATTTTTTAGTCCTGTTTTCAGTCTGTGTCTGTATTCTGGGCATTGTATATTCAATTTGCAAAATAAACAGACTACTAAACTGGGCCTTGACTGTGTAACTGTTGTGGAGTGGTTTCACAGTGAAGGCTTGTGTTTGTACTAAGTCGGTCCTTTAATTAGGTTCGACGTACAAAACCTTAGGAACTTGATATAACAGGTAATGACACAGAGAAATCTAGTTGTGGTCACTGATGCTTTAGCATCCGACTAATGGTCGTCCGACATCGACTCACTGAGCGACTCCTCGTTCCTCTTACTACTCCTACTTATTATAGGTGGGAGAGTCTATTAACTATAGAATAGGTGTGTTCCACTATAACAGTAACTGACATCAATATGGAATTTCTTGGAAGAGGAGTTATTATTTACATTCAGACTAATATCCTCATATTTGTTATCACTTGTCAGCTATTGTCCCCCCCCCCCAAACTAATGTTCTTCAGCTGTCCCCCTGCTGGTGCTCTTCAGCTGTCTTTTGATCCAGACAACCTTAGATAATTTTAAACTGAACCCTTTATTTCATTTACAGTTTAAAATTCCTTGGAGGCTAACAGACTCCTGAAGAACATCAGAAAGTGCAACATGTTTTGGTAATAACAAAAATGTCTTTTCTAATTTATGGAATAACACTAAAAATAACAATTACTAAACCTTTATCCTTCCTTGGCAAGAAAAAGGCAAGCATTTTTATTCTATTCCCTATACAATTACTATGTACAGTTTTTGACACACGCTCATAAGTATGACTTCTTGAAAATATTTAACTCTTTATTCAGTAACAATGATCTATGGGACTAAGTTATTTACCTTATATTTGGACTATTGTCCTCATCTTTGTTGTTGTTATCACAACATTTCAGCTGTTGTGTCCTATAACCTTCCTCAGGTGTATATCAATCTGGGTAACTTACAGGAAATTCTTAACTGAACCCTTTAATTCCATTGCTTATTTTTATTTAGTTATTGCTCACAGGGATTGAATTCACAATAACCAAATTCACAAATCAACACTTTAATCCACTAGACCATTGTCCTGTAGAACAATTCGCTATAGTGAACTTGGAGATTTAAACCTAGCCTGCCTGCTGATGACTGTCATATCTTTACTGTTGGTACTGTTGGTTTTGATTGCTAACTTGTTAGCCATTACACTTCAATGAGGCGTGATGCAGTGGTTAATAGGAGTTGGAAATAATGACCAGAATCTATAAACGTATGATGAAATATTTTTGTTTATTTTATAGTTATTTTCAACTTTGGTATTATTGACTCTTTATGCCTGAAAATAATTTGGCAAGTAATATAAAATGTGTTGCAGCAACTTTGTTCTAAATATTAAAAAAAAAAAAAGATGTACAGTTAATTTTTATTATTTCCATATTTTTATGCAACTATGAAGGTTTGGGTAAACTTGTAACAAATAGTGCTACAATTTGTAATGGACCCGGTTGCTGTCATAGTGGAAGGAGTCCATACATTTTACTGGTGAGGATGAAGAATTTCATGAGGAAAGAAATTCAGCATGTGGAGGATTTTATACATATGTGATAATATGGACACTCATATAGAAGAGAAAGAGGCGGTTTTATCTTCTCAAGTGTTTTTGTTTGATAGACCATCAGATGGTCCCTTTTGAAGTTCTGTCTCCTAAGTGATCAAGTGGCAACAAAACCGGAAATAAAGTATATCCATGTGCTGGGCTATATAAACAATCATGCTTGAGATTGGAGATAGGTCTGGTCAGGAGATGGATGTTCTGAAGCTTCTATTCATATTGCCAAGCCACCACATTGGGATGCATAGATGGGCAAGAAGTTGGTAGGAGGAAGAGCTGATATAGTAGATGTCCCAGGTATTGTCTATCTACCCACCCAGGCGAGCACCCTGAATAAAATGTTTACATATAATATGGGGAAAAGGGTTTGTGTTTTTATTCCTCAATGTGGCATTTGTGTTTCATCATGCTACCTAGTGAGCATATTGTCATGTCCTTTCCCAGCTTTTCGTGCATACTAGTGAGATCAAGGATTGAAATGCATTGTGGGCTGGTTGGTGGAAAGTTTGGATTCGGGTTGTTTTGTATTTTTACACCTATATATTTTCTTTTTTTTATGTAGAGACCAATATAGTTTACAAAGGAGAAAGAAAATTATATTTGTGTGTATACAGATAGAAAACATTTATGTACTTAGTCATTGTGTGTATGACATGTCTACATAGTTTGTTTGAAATTAAGTAGTTGCTTTTTTGGGGAAAATCTCCAACAGACAAGCCTCAATGATGTAACTGCATTATGGATCAAAAAAGTGATAGTTTATTGTTCCATCCTTTTATAGTCTTGAACAGGTGTCTTGGCAGGTAGGATAACCTCCACAAACTAATTGCTAACAGTACAGAAAATGGAATTGACAAACCAGCTTCTGTACACTTTATACTACTGCTCTTGGAGGAGACCTGAATCCATCTCCCCACTCGCCTATTTCCACCAGGCATATTAGGCACTCTAATATTTAGTCTCAGAAAGCCAAAGAGAAGGCAGTGGAAAACATCTTCCCTAGAAAACAATTATGGCAATGCATAGTTTAAAAGA